ATTTCTTTCTATTTTTAGTAGAGACGGGGTCTCGCTCTTGCTCAGGCTGGTCTCGAATTCCTGACCTTGAGCGATCCACCCGCCTCAGCCTCCCAGAGTGCTAGGATTACAGGCGTGAGCCACCGCGCCCGGCCCCCCTCCCTGTATTTTAAGAATATCTCTCTCTCCTCTCCCCTGACCATCGGCGCTCCTCAGGGACTATGAGCAGTCTGGTTCATCACTGTGTCCTCAACACCCGGCCCCAGGCTGGCAATAGGCACTCAGGACACATTGAACTGGGTGGGCCTCATATCACTGCTGCGATGGGGATTTTGGAGATTAGAGAGGCCAGACCAGTGTCTCCCATCTGTATGATCCATGGCAAGCCACTTTCTTTCTTTGAGCCTCAGTTTCCTTATCTGTAAAATGGGTATAATAATGCCGACTTCTCAGAGTTCTGTATGTAACGTGCCAGCAGGTAGAAAGTGTTGGGTGAGTGGTGGATTCCTTCCCTGGTGTGGTCTTGGCCCTGGGCTTAATAACTTCCTCTGTGAGCAACAAGCCCCCTCAAGCCCTCCAGGGCAGGAAATTGATGTCCTCTGGTAAGTCTTGGGCCCTGGACTCTTGTCCTGAGAGGTCCTAGAGGTGAGGGAAAATGGTAGGCAGTCTGGATCAAACCCTAAACTTGGAGCCACATAACTGAATGTGAGACAGCTCCATAGTTCACTGGCCGTGTGACCCCGAGCAAGTCCCTTCACCTCTCTGATCCTCAGCTTCCTGATCTGTAATGGGAGCTAATAACACTTACCAGCCTAATACTCAAAGTAACATGCGTAAAGAGCCAAGTTCTTGGTAGGTGCTCAATTATTATATCCCCAAAGCGATTCCTGATCATCTTCTGAATCTTCCTGTTAAACTGGAGCCATGATCATTCTAGACCATGGAGAGGAACTTTCCTATTCTAAATGGTTGCCTGGGATCTGGCTTGGGCACCTGCAGCCTGAGTTAGGTGTTGAGACTCCGGACAGCTATGGACGCACAGAAGGATCCCAATGCTGGTGACTCTACCAGGTGCCAATGTGTAAGCGACCAGCCAGCTCCCTAGGAGATGTCTATGGAGTCCTCCAGATGGGGACCAGCGAGTGCAGTTTGGGAGGACAGAGGTCTACCCTTTAGCCCCTACCCAGATCCTCCTTTATCTGTTCATTCATCCTGCCACTGCCGTATTTCTGAATGTTGCACAGAGCCTGGTACATAATGGGTGTTCAATACGTATGTTGGTAGAACAAATTTATTCCATTCGGTTAACATTTAATGAGCACCTACTGCATCTTAGGCCCTGTGCTAAGAGAGGGTGTACGAATGGTGTACATAAAGTGACTGGCCCTGACAGTGCGCCTCCAAGCTCACCCTGGGCACCTCGAAACGCTCCCAGCAATTCCCACCACCAACCCAGCTCCCACTGGCTGCCGGGCTGCAGGCAACCAGGACTTTTCCCAGAATTGAGGTAATGCCCAAGCACCCCATGCATCATGAGGCCTGGGAAGGATGCATCCCCACAGACACAACTCTCCAAACCCTCCCAGTCCTCCATGCCCCCTCCTCCGGCCACCTTTCCTCATCCCTCTCAAATCTCAGGTACCGCCATCTCCCCTCCTCCCAGTGCCCTACATCTACCTGGGATTTTACCTGGAGGGACCAGCAGGTGGCGCTGAAGCTCCCCTTTCCCCAGCGCTGGCCTAGAGGCCAGACCCCACCAGGACCCTCTCCCTCCCTCCTTTTCTCCCTAGCAGGGACCGAAGTGGATTCTGTGTCCTCTCACTGAACCCTCTCCTTCCTGCTGATTCCTGCGATGGAAGCCTGAGGAAGCTCCAGTTGCTCCTGCGGGCCTTCCGGTTGTCTGTCCTTGCCTGATGGGTTGGGGGAAGGGGGGTCCCCAGGGGCTAAGCTGCAGCTGGTGGGGCGGGGCGGGGTGGGGCAGGCAGCAGCTGTCGGGAGAGAGAAAGGGAGAAGATAGTAAGAGAGAGAAAGAGAAAGAGAGAGAAGAGAAAAGGGAGAGAGAACGAGGAGAGGTGCTCTGGCTCCTGGGCTCCTGTCCCAAACAGGTCAAGGTCGCAGCTGAGGCTCCCCCAAGACAAGGTATGTGGCTGAGGAAATAATGGCCCGGGCGGTGTCCACCTGCCAACTGAGGCAGGCCCGAGGGAGGCGGGGCTGGGCAGTAAGATTCTGCTGCTCAAAGAGAGCCCCTGAGCTCTCTCCCACACCGCCCCTTTCAAGGTGACCAAGTCGAAATGTGGGGGGCAGTGGAAGGAGTCCTGGGGTGTGCATTAGGAGATGAGGGCTGTTCTATTGCGGCTCTTGCCTCGATGTGTGAATTTGCGACAAGCTCTTCCCATCGCTGGATCTCAATTTCTTCATCTGAAATTGGAGAGGATGGGGAGGAAGTTCTTGAAGACATTCTGTGGGATAACTTTGTAAAGTGTTTTCTTTCCAAAGAAAATTAGCCCTTCCAGGGCCTCTGGAAAACCAGACCTTTAAGCCCCAAGGGAATGCCAACCCCCCATGGTGGAATTTTAGATAGTAGGGGGAAGGGGCTCATTTGGAGAGATGGCTAGCCCCTCCGTGTCAGGGGACCTGGGACCCTGGTCCATGTGCCTCTTTTCAACCTTGTTTCTCTGGCTGCAACGTGGGGTGAGAATGTCACGGGGTCGGGTGGGGGGTGGGGGGCTTCTCTAGCCACCTGGTATTCCGGAGGCCCTTTCGTTAAGGACAGGGTGGTGAGTGCAGGGTGAGGGCCCCTCTCTGCCACTCCAAGATCAGAAAAGGTGTGAATTGGGCAGGAGGGAATGTGAGGACAGTGGTAGGCATATGGATGTCCCCAAGGAAATGAGGGAGGAGCCACTCAAACTCTTTTATTTACTGTGGCTGCCTGCCAAAGCCCCCTGCACTTTAGAGCTATTAGCCAGAAGCCAGGGGGGTGGGGGTGTAGGGTGCTAGAGCTGCTCCTCTCTCAGGCTGCTCTTAGTGATTATTCCAGATTGTTCTCTGGCTGGGGAGGAGCCGGCACAGACCAATCCTAGAACTCAAGAATCCCGGGGCAAAGTCATGCTGGGTGGGGAGACGGTTGGGTCAAGCACAGCTTTGGGAGTCAGATCGGCCTGTGTTCAAATCCTGACTCTGCTGTGGGTCCTTGGACAAGTCGAGTGGCCTGTCCAAGCTGCAGTCTCCTCCCATGTGAAGTGTGCACAAGGCAGACCTTACAGGGTCGCTGTGACAGACCATATAGTGCAAATAAAGCTCAGCACATTATCTGGCAGTTAGTAGATGCTCATTTTTGCTCTCATTATGGAGGTGAAAATGAAGGTCCACAGAAGGAAAAGGACTGGCGTGGGGTCACAGAACTAGATCCTCCAGTAAGCGGGAGTACCGCCTCTCAGCCCCATTGTAAACACCGAGCACCTACTTAGAACTCTACAGGCACCCCCAGCCCTACTCTTACTCCGCTCTGCCCCGGCCAGCAATGCCTCAAGTCTGGATGGAGTGAGGGGTGGGAACCCCCAGGCCCAGGGAGGGGAGGTCGGCTTTCGGGTGGGGTCGGGGCACAGACGAGCATCTGGGCGGCACTTGTCCTCCCTCTCCCTTGGGAAAGGGCAGAGACCAGGGCGGGTCAGGGCTGCGAGGCTGCGAGGTTGGGGCTGACCGCGGTGGGCGCAGAGAACCCTGCGGGGGCTCCTGCGGAGACCGGAGGGTGGTAGCCGCCGTCCGCGAAGCCCCCCGCCCCTCTCCGGCCGCCGGCCGAGTAGCGAGCGGGGGCGGCAGTAGGGGCGCCCTCCGCCTCTCACCCCGCCCCCGCGCCTCTCCCCGCAGCGGGGGCGCCCCGCCCCCAGGGCGCCCGACGTGGACGCGGCCGCTGCCGCCGCCGCCGCTGCCGCCGCCGCCGCC